GATTCTTTGATGAATAGGAAGTTCAAAAGAACAGCATTTGTTTAAAATAGAATCTTTTGTAACATTATAAATGTCTTTACTGTCCTTGATAAATAAAAGTATTGATTTCTTTCCTCCAAAAAATAAAAAATAAAATTCTCACTGACCCCAAACTTTTGAACGGTAGTGTATATTGAATGCTTTTGTGTGCTTTCGCAAATGTTTTGCATTCCTGCATGCGTTTCACAGAAGAACGCGACTCACACTGGTGTGAAATGACAGAGCTGCACGATTCTGGATAAATTGACCCTTCGCAGGGAGTTTGATTGACAGGCGATCTGACCAATCATAATTTGCCGAATCCGCCATTTTGTACGACAGAGCTGTCCGGAGAATTAGTAGATTAACGTGTTCATTCATGTTTATTTGATGCTATAAATGAACTAGAAGGAAGAGATGATCGGTTCACGAGCAGCTTTAACTGAGCGATCTGTCAGACACATTAAAGAGCCATAAAACGGTATTTATTGTTTAAATTTATTTTTTAAAAATGACCAAATTTGATAGTTAAGACTTGTTTCATATCAAAAGTAAGCTGGTCTGTCCTGTGTCAGTGTGTTGTCAGTGTCTCTGCTCCGTGATGTATTGTTCACTGCGCGAGAACATGGTGTGTGTGTGTGTGAGAGAGAGGCGTGGCTTGTCGGACATAGCAACAGTAACTAAAGGGGGCGGGTCTTTGCGAACGGTCAATTGAGAATCACATTTTTTTTTTCAATCACGATTCTGAATAAACTAAATAACATGTAATTTACTAGAGGTTCTGACAAAATGTTAATTGCTGCAGTCTATTTAAAATGTTTCATTAATCTGAATTGAAACTGTTTGAGTGAATGATTCAGTGACTCCCTTCACTTGTTTCGTCACTGGTTGAATCAGCGTTATTAAACAAATCGCTTGAATGAATCATTTAATGACAAATACATTAGTTTAAAAGTCTTGTCACCTAGTGGTGTAACAATGTAATTGATAAAATCATTGAAGTGCCATGCTACTTTCAAAAGGTCATTTACTCAATTTTGACCGCTACCGTAAACATCAGTGTTAATATCATAACTATAATCCTCAATCTTAGTACTTCTGTGATGATATGACTATTTGTAACAGAAATAACGATACTGTGTGGTTGAAAAGGCTGTTTGTGAAGCAGTTTCATACACCTATACACCTCCTATACAATCAACTTTAACGATTAATCGTGCAGTTCTACAATGACATGAGTAAAAGATGACACTGTTCATTTTTGGGTGAACTATTCCATTAATGACCAACCAAAACCCCATAATAGTACATTTTAACTTAAAAGGGTGGTTGATTATGATTTCACTTTTGTAACTTTAGTTAGTGTGTAATGTTGCTGTTTGAGCATAAGCAACATCAGCAAAGTTACAACGCTCAAAGTTCAAAGCAAAGGGAGATATTTGCTTTTAAAGAAATTGCTTTTTAAGGACTACAAACGGCTGGTAGGAACTACACGACATTCCTCCCGGGTTAGTGACATCACTAACCCTAAAATTTACATAAACCCCGCCCCCTGAACACGATTTATAGATTATCATGACAGAATATGCTAATCAATGACACATAAGCTACATAAATTCATCAACTACCCATTCAGAAATGTTGTCTACATGTTGTCACTTCTTGAGTCTCTCCATCTTTGTCTGACTTGGGTTTGAACATAAGAGGCTTGAAATTCTTAGGACACAAGCTGTTGAAGCTCCGCCCCCTGAGCAGCAGCTCATTTGCATTTAAAGGAACAGACACGAAAATGGTGCATTTTTGCTCACCTTCAAAAAGTGACAATTTTAGCATGCTATATAAAAATATCTGTGGTGTTTTGAGCCAAAACTTCACATACACACTCTGGGGACATCAGAGACTTATTTTACATCTTGTGAAAAGGGCTTTATACCACCCCTTTAAGCATTATAAACATGTTGCTCAATTTCGTTTGACAAGAGCTGTAATCAAAATCATATAGGCTGTATTTTCACTTTGCTACCTTAAATTAAAGCAGCTCTTTCCAGCTGTTCGTGATTTCACAGGAAGTGCATTTGCCAAATTTGTTGACAGAAACGCTTTGCACAAAGAGTTCTGTTCAATTTAAAAGAGTAATCAATTTTCCTTAAATTATTCCAGCTTAAAGCAGGTCAAAATAAAGTCATGCAAAATGTGCGCATATAAATGTGGAAATATTTCAGCAAATGTCATTCGTTTCATTTCGGACCGCTGCATAAGTCTGTAATAAATTAGTGTAGCGCACTGTACTAGAGACTCATCCAACCGTCCCACTGAAATTCCCTTCATCTCAATAAAGCACTTTTCCTACAGCCATGCCATTCTTATAATACCCTTTAAACTAGATTTTAGACCAAGTTCAAGATATCAAACTATTAATATCTCTACGACATTCATCCACATTAAAGCAATAATTCTCTCAAAAATGAAAACCATTTCTCATGTTGTTCCAAACCCATATGACTGACTTTCTTCTTCGAAAGCAAAACACAGGAAAAACTGAAACATTCACATAGATCTTTTCCATACAACAACAGTTCATAAAGAACACAGCTATCAATGTCTATATGGCTATAATAAACCATAACAGTCATTCGTACCCCTTGTTATATACACTTATTTTTCCATACTATGGAAGTCAATGGGGTCCATCTAGGGTTGCAAAATTCTGGGAATTTTCAAAGATGGAAACTTTCCATGGGAATTAATGGAAATTTAAGGGAATTAACAGGAATGTATGGGAATAAAGTGGGAATTTTCAAAGTTGAGGGTTGACTCTTCATAGGGAACTTAAATATAGTTGAGTAAAGTATATTTTAGCATAATCTTGACTAAAACAAACAGATGCCATTCAAATACACTTGAATATCCATGCCATTCCTCAATCACATGCACATAGAACACTGCTTACTGCATGGCTATTGAGACCACACCCCCTACTGGCACTGTGCATGCCTCCATCACATGTACAGAAGCCCAAAGCACAAGACTATTGAAGGCACACATTTGAGCCTGTGGACTAAACAAAGTGAATTAAGTAGGGATGTCAACGATTAATCGACGATCGATTAATTGTCGATAACACGTTTAATCGATAAACCTTATCGATCATCGATTAAGCAGGTTCATGCGCGTGCGTGCTGCTCAACCGCGAAACATGTAAGCGAGCGCGCCGGAGTTATGTTTGGGACTATTTTACACCTTCATCATGACTATAAGTTTGCGTGTGCATTCGCTGCCTTTTGTTTTGTGCAAATGTAAGTTGTAATAGTTTATTTTGTGTGCGCCTATCTATATCTGATTTATCTCATATTGGATGCATTTGGTTAAGAAATGACGCAGCGTGATCTTTAGCGCGCGCAGCTCAAATGGCAATGCACGACTAATAACGACTATTGGGACTGTCAAATTATATAACATTATAAAGAGAACAATATTGTAATAAAACATTGTGAATTATTTGGGTTTAGTTGCCGTGTCGCGTTGTTCCAGGAAGAGCGCGTCCACAACATGAGTCATTCTGAATGGCACGTAACTTAGTTCAAGTTCACTTGTGCATTCACGTCATTTTGTGCAGATATAATTTGTAATATTAACGTTATGTTTATTTTGTATATATCTGATTAATCTCATAGGATGCGTTTCTTTGAGTTAAATAACGTGCTAGCAAAGTGCTCAACGGTTAAGTTATTCATTCAGCGCGCGCCGCTCAAGCAGAATGCACGACTAATAACGAGGATTAATTTGGGACTGTCATATTACATAACATTCATTGGGTTTAGTTGCCGTTTTAAGTGCATTGTTCCAGGAAGAGCACGCGTCCACAAGTCACACATTCTGACAAGCCCATCTGAGGCGGCGTTGGTGACACGTTGTATTAGTCGTTATATTTTATTATTAAATATTTATTTAATTATCAATCACATCGAAACATTTTACAATCCAACTAGCCCTTTATTTAGATTAAAACCATTCTCATTAATTTGGTGAGGAACATAGCGGTTTGAGCAGCATTTGCAGACGCTATCATGCTGTTGGCAATATGCACTGCAGCAGACGCATATTGCAGTATTAAGGCTAACGATTAATTGATCGTTAATTTAAACGACGATCGATCATGGGAATTTGTGAAAATTGACATCCCTAGAAGTAAGATTTGATGATATTATGGGGAAATATATTTATTAAATGTTTAAATTGTAAATATCACATACAAATGTATTTATCTAGTAGCAATGCTGATAAGTTAGATGCTAAATAAGCTAGCATAACTTTATTTACCACATAAGGCAGATGCTAGCTACCTCATGTGGCTGTTTTTCTCTGACTCCTGCAATATGTTTTCAAGATCATTCCAGTTGTTTAGCTAGCCTTACTATTTATGTATCTGTTCATGCCATTGCATTAGTATTCTTACTAGGGTTGGGCCGATGGACGATAGACATCACTATGTTTAGTATTCCCAGTTAGTTCCCCTAAATTCCCATTAATTTCCATTAATTCCCATAATTCCCATGGAAAGTTTCTAATATGGAATATTTCCAAAATTCCCCAGCTTAACTTCCCATGGAAATTTACCAGAAATTGTCCACCCCTTTGCAACCCTAGGTCCATCAGCTTTTTGGTTACCAATAATCTTTAAAATATCTTCTTTTGTGTTTCAAACAGATCAAAGAAACTGTTTGGGTGAACAATCCCTTTAAATGTTGTGTTAAACTATTAAATAACTTATAATGCAATCACACTCAGGAACTGCTTGACTGCCATGATGATCACTGTGTTGTTGATGGGAAAAGGATAAGAGAAGTTTTTCACAGTAGAAAGCCTCAGTTTTTGAAAGACATGATGGTGATGAGGAGTAAATGTATTTTATTTTCTGTGATCTATTTCTTCAGCGCCATTGAACATGCAGACAAAAATAAACTACACATGTAATGCCTTACCTGGCAGTTGTAACAAGTACTTGTACGGTTCCAGAAGAATCCTTTCAGAAGTTGCTCTTTTTTCTTCATCCATTCCTTCGTTTCAACCAAGAAACCTGCAGTGTGTGTGTGTGTGTGTGAGAGAGAGATAAAGAGTGTGAGTAAAACAGCCTCCACAATAAAATCTAAATGCCAGACGCACAGCCAATTACTCTTGGCCGAGTTGTTATTAATTCAATTGGCTTTACTTCCTAAACTCCTAACATTATGCAGTGTCGGGACACTTTGGGGTTTTCCCACAGGAAGCAGGGCATGATTTGCTCCAGAAGAACATGTGCAATCCTATTTTAATACAACTCAATCTAATTTACCTTTGAAAGAAATGTATAATGTTTCATTAAAGTATAATAAATGTGTATAAAATGCAATATTCTTAGTTAGTACTGTACAAAAGTTTGGGATCATTGATTTTTTTCCCCACAAAAACTTATTACAAATTAAAATAAATGTATTCTATTTGAATATATTTTTAAATGTGAATTTTCAGCAGTCTTCAGTGTCACATGATCCTTCAGAAATCACTCTAAGGCCCAGTCCCAATTCTCACTTGAGCCCTAAGGCCTTCCTGGAAGTGGACACTTGTTGAAAGTGCACTTAGCGGAGTAAGTGCGCAAGGGCCCAAAGCTGTGAAGAGCAGAATTGGGACAGTTTTGCACACGTCACTTCTGTTGTGATCAGGAGAGCAAACACCATTCATTTGGCTAATGTGTGTCCTGCTTATAACAGCTGTAACATGACACAATCCTTTGAATGAAAAAAATAATATCTTTTTTTTACTCTTAGCTACCAACCTTTCTGTTAATGTTATTAATATTAAAACAGTTTTTGGCTAAGATAAATTGTGATTGGGGTTTACCTGAGCTTATACTGCCTTACCGTATTCACAGCGATTCGAAATGCAATTTTAATTATGTTATTATGGAAATTGATATATGAAATTCTTCCCATCCCATACATGAAAAAATACATGACGTGTTGGTGATATATTATATATAGGCTAAGGCTATATTAAAAGTCTTACATAGGCTATCTGAAATAAAATGACACAACCCTGTCTCTTTTTGTTAAATTTCAGTTTTATTGATCAATAATAGCCATTATTAAATTATAAGTAGCCTAAAAAGTATAAGAAGCTATATAAGTCAAGAAAAAAAAGCAAGTTAAAAGATTCAGTCAAACACAAGTCAACAGGCTAACGTTACAACGTTACAGTTAAATAGCATAAATATATAAAGTTATGAAACTTCACTTTGCCCTCAGCCAAAACGATTTGCCAGGGAACAAATCATAGATTAATGAGACCAAAGATGGCCCGTTAGATATACACAAGCCGATTTATAGCTCATGTTTAACCACTAGACACAGAGCCCGCGGGAAACGTCAGAATGACTAGCCGAGGTAAGGCTGTTCCAGGCGGGGTACATGAGCGCTGTGCGCCCGCTGATCCCTGGAACTCCGAAAAAGTCCGATCAAATTTTTAAATATCTTTATAAACAAACCACAGATTTGATCTTTAAACAACTATATTCTCGACTGAAAAACTCTTAAAACTACATTCGGTGACACGATAACACTAATATTTTTAAATTTCGCGGCCTTGAAAAACACTTCACCGAACAGGTGTTCTGACGATTTGTGCTGCCTTGTCGAAAAATGCTACCGTAACGCGAATCGATCACAGAATGTCGATTAATATTATATGAAATACAATTATAATACAATTCTAAGTTATGAGTAGCTACTGTATACTGTAGACTACTGTTTTTATTTTTAAAACGGTGTGAAAATTAAAAATTATCATCAAATATTCATCTTTGACTTGTCAAAGCACACTTTTCCTTAGTAACTGAAAATTTCAGTTATTATTGTTCATCTGGCTGACCGTACACATTCATATGCTAGTTAGCATTTTTAAAGGGAAATTACAATATAACACATGAAAATGTACCTTTTGTTAAAAAAAACTGTGCTTCTGCACATGCGCATAATCATTAAGTAGCAAATCTCGATGGGTAGCATGAATCGTCAGAACACCTGCTTCCTTTATCTTCGGAGTTTCCGCTCCCGAACAGCACCATAGCAACCGTTCTCCCCCATTGGTTAGCTGTTCGAAACGTCACAACCCTACAAGGATTCTGGGTAATATCCCACAGCAAAGTGAGGTCTGATGCGCACTTGCGAAAGGGGTGCATTAAGTGCTCTTATGATCACCCCTGAAGAACACTATTAGAGGATCGGGACACCCTACGGTCTTGCACCCCTTAGCGAGAACGCGCATTGAGGGGCACAAGGGCGCAAGTGCGGGTATTGGGACAGGGCCTAATATGATGATTTGCAGCATAAGAAACAGTTATGATTATTATCAATGCTGAAAACAGTCGTGCTGCTTCAGATTTTTATGGAAAATGTGATTTTATTTTTCAAGATTCTTTGATGAATTTAAAGTTGCATTTAATTGTAACAAATCTTTTGTGACATTATAAATGTCTTTACTGTCGTGGCTTTTAATTAATTTTATGCATCCTTGCTGAATAAAGTATTAATTTATTTTTATTTTTTATTCTTACGGACCCCAAACTTTTGAATAATAGTTCACATACACGCATAAATACATACATTATACACACATACAAAACAGGGTTCAACATTTTAACCTAAAGCGTTATTCTTAAATGCTTATTATGATTTTAAAAAGTAGCCATTTATTGGACACTGGTGTTTTATTGATGTTGTTGCCATTGTATGAATGGGCAATAATGCACTCAAGTGATTTTTAACAAAGATGTAGGACAATTCAGCACTTAAAAGCACTCCTAAACCAAGGTTAAAATTACCTTAACACAACAAAATAATTGGCTTACTGCTTTATTAATTACTCAGTTTTTAAATGAATAACCCTACATGATGACCAGATAAAATATTGCCATTTATAACATCAGGTTTTAAATGATCATGCATATTAAATCAATGCATGACCAAAGAACAGTCAAAAACATCATGTGCATTAGTTGGGTTATCTAGAAATCATTCTGATCGATATCGAAGAACTCAAACTCACTGACAATTGGATCTAGTATTGCAATTCTTCAGAATAAATCGAATTAAGTCATTTAGAGAAAAACGATCAGTTACATCTCAGCAATTGGAGTGACACAACAACAGTAGATGAGAGCTCAAGCATCAACAGGAACGATTTATTATAGCATGTCGCGGTCATGGAAGTGCAGAACTGACTCATAAACAATCTCATGGACACGACAGAGACAAGCTTCAGCCGTCACAGCCCATCACTCACACAGACACATCTCTTCTGGACCCGAACAACACAAACCACTAGGGGCGTAACGATACCCTCATATCACGATACTGAACTCACGATACGATATTATTGCGATACTCCAAGACACATGATAAAAGGTTAACAAAAAATGTACTGTTGATTAAAATGCTACATTTGGTTTTACATTGTGTGTGTAAATGAATAAGTCTTGGACTTGATGCTGAAACCCAAAGCACAGGACAATAGAGACACCAGAACAACAATATTCATGATTCTGAAGCTGAAAATACTGAATTATTTTAGACGAATATGCTTCTATTGTGTTAATATACTACTGACTAGATATATTTAAAACAATGTCGGCCACTTTTTACTGGTAACATCAGATATTTGACAGAGTGCAGTTTTTCACCAGATATTAGCATGATGACAAATGTGATTTTGAATATTTTGCTAAATTTAGTCAGCTTTTTCATTGAACTTTCACAATGCTACACTAATAATAGTAGTAAGGCTTTCCTATGTGTACATATCAACGTACAATTTTGCCTGTATTATTGGTGTCCCCTTCAAAAATTGCTCTTGAGAAATGTTATGTTTGAGAAATGTTATGTCCAGCTTTGATCAGTACACAAGTGTTACACATAATAGTAGCCAAAAGTAATACACCACTTTACCACGTTATGGTTTAACAAGTATTATGTGCAAAATAAACAGTATAGCACACACAAAAAAGGATGATTTCATAATCATGCTTGGATTGCTTGCTATTGTGATATATATACTGTATATATTCATGTATGTGTGTGTCTGTGTACCAGTAATTTGACAAACAATTTCACTTAATATTATAATCCTAGCTAAATATTCACAAATGCACATCTAATAATAATAATAATAATAAAAACATAATAAATGAAATAGCATGTCTTCATACTATTTAATTTATATGTATAATAATAATTTTACAATATTTCTTATTCTTATTATTATTATTAATGTGCATTAAGTAAAATCAGATAGTATGGTAACAAAGTAAAATAAATGCCCCACCCACCTTTTCGATCGAAAAATCTGGATCCTAGCACTTCCGCTTTCGTAATCCAGCACGTCACTCTTCCGCTTTCAATTTTTTTTCACTCGCAGCCAGCTCGCTAGCATTAGCCAGTTAGCCAAAGACGGTAATTTAACTCCACTTCGATTCACAGCCCATTTAGAACGCGATCAAAACGGCACCTCATCATCTTTAGTACACTAATATCCCGCTATATGTAAAAAGAATAGATATTTAAGACGCGCCAGAGTCCCTTCAATTGATCTGTCATGTCTGAGTTTGACAGGAAGCTCACTCATCCCCGCTGCTCGCGCTTAAATACGCTATGGCGTCCGCAGAGAGCATGCGCAGAAAATGGGCGGGGCTTTTTTCCCCTGACGCCGCATTGAACTATGGTAGATGTAGTTATAGGGTAAAATGCCACCCTTAAGAATAATGTGTGTTTACTTTTAATCTGTAACATATTTAAATATAAGTTTAGCATGTGCAGATGATGATGCATCAGCCAATGTAGGAAATAAATAGAAACATTTGCTAATTTAGTTGTTATAGAACAAAATGCAGAATTATTCAAAGAGTATATCTTACCCCACTACTGGGGTAAACTTTTACAGGTTGAATAAATTATACCTTTGATATAATTTTTCATAAATGTCGTCATAAATGTAAAATACTGAATCAACTATTCTATTTAAATTTGAATTTTGATCACTTAGTTGAATAATTAAATAACCGATGACAGAAAAAGCAGAAACATATATATATATATATATATATATATGCACAAAATACTAAATGCACAAAACATAAATACCTGTAGAAGAGAATTTGATATTTTGAGACATTGTCTTTATCACTCTTCTTTGTATTTTGTGCATATGTAGTGTAAGTTTGTGTATGACACTGAATGTTGTTGTCGTTATTTTTACATTTTCGCAAATGTCATTTTAAAAACATGCAAGTCCCAACTAGCTTTGAAATTTCTATAAAATTATTGTTTTAACGATAACAAACAATGTTCTGTTGTAGTGCCTCATGAAAATGGCAAAACAAATTATCAGAACATAAATACAATAATGTTGAAACTTGAAAAGTTAGTTATTTTATTCAAATAAGCATTTAGACATTTTTATTGGTTTTAAAGAATTACTACTAAAGTACATTGCATAAACAAAAATAAGAAAAGTACATAATAAACAAAACAGTGACAAACTTAAAAGCTAAATAAAAACATGAAAATGTTTACAAATGGAAACACATTTTACAGCTTTCTTATTTTTTAAACAATGTTATATTTATGTAGTGTTAAAATTAAAAATTTAAAAACAAAGGCTCATTTTTTTACCTTTATGAATACAACAATTTGCTAAAAGAAGTAGAAGATTAATTAAGAAATATTCCTTATGATAAGATTTGTCATAGGATAAAAACAAAACAAATAAAAGCCCAGTTGAAAGCTGGGCATGATGTGAGCCTTAATAAAAAGAACAGAAATCTGACCAAAAACAAACTGAATGAGAACAACTTAAAAAAAAATGATTCAATGTTTCAACATGCAAACCACAAAATGTACAAAAGCGTTTAGACTTTTCCTCAGATTTAACTGCGATCAAAAGAGCATGCGCGTGAAGGTGGGCGGAGCCTGGAGATATTTCCCCACTCGCTGTTGAACTCTGGGAAATGTAGTTTACGTCATCATTGTGTGTTCCATCGTCGCAGTGACGATATAACGCGGGTGTCATGTTCAAAACATACAAGTCCCGAGTATCTTTGCGATTAAATGATCGCCGAGACGTTTTCCCCCGATTTCATCATCCAATAGGAAACGAGCGGGGCGGTAAGTGCGCGCGCAGCAGCCAATGAGCGCGCGCGGTGTCCACAGTGGGCGGTTTGTGTGTATCCTTCAGTCCGTTTCAGACGCGAGGAGGAGGAGGATTAAACACAGAGAAAACGAGTGCGATTGCGGAGCTATTTCGTCGGATTCGCATCCCGACACCTTTCCTACATTTTCGGACGACGTTTCCAGCGTTGATCGTCGATGATTTTCCTCGATTGTCCAATGGATTACTAATTTAACGGAGGAACATCGCGATCCGTCGGATACATCAGGTAGGACATCATGTTGACCAGCTAAAGTCTTAATGGAGACGGAGATCGAAAGAAAACTACGCTGCGTCGAGCTTCAATGTTTAACTAAATGATCACTTGTTAACATTATTCACGCGACTGCATTTTAATCGTTTACTTCTAATTTGACAGCGAGACGCGAAGCGCTGTCGATCAGAGGTTTTGTTAACCTTGTTTTCTCGCTGGCTGAAAGGTTTACGGCGTAAATAGTGCATCTAGACAGCGGGAGACTTTTTCTTCGCCTTTATTAGTTTGTTAATAGTCGATGTAGCAGACTGGGCAACTTTGGGCTTCACTTGTATCGCCGTCAGCAGATGTTGTGTTGGAATTCGCGAAAAGACTCGACCACTTTCTTTTTGCTGCTCGGCATCAAACAGCTCATGGGGAAACACTGCCTTGCTGGATCCCTTACGTAAGGCTTTGTGCGATCAAAAGAGATATTTAGACTAAAAGCGTTAAAATCTCTGAGTGCTTGAATTGGGATTATCTGCACAATAATCGTAGCGAACTGGAATCGGTCACGCGCTCTTTAAAACTCTCGCGCACGATTGTCTCTTCGAATGAATCAACAATCTTGCAGTTTTCGATTCCGTACGTTAAATTATCGCCTATTTTCTGGAAATTAAGCTTTTATTACGAGCTCTAACGTTAACGTTACCTTTCTAAGGATAAACCTAGTCGATCTACGGATCTTTTTGAGCGTGAGCAGAAATGGCTGGCGACTCGAGGAAGGCTAGTTTTCAGCAAGCAGATTTTCATCTCTACCGTCGGGTAACTTAGTTGTCAACCTAATTGTTATATTTGCCAAGATAATCGGTTGCATTTCGACGGTTAGTCTGAACGCGACAGTTATTGTTTGAACTGACATTGTCGTTAGGCTCACGCGTAGCGACGCATTTGTTTTCCATTCAGTTGATGTCGAAAGAAAACAAGTCCGATTTCCCCGATCGCAAGCAAGTTGTACAAACCCTGTTTGGGCTTGACCTTGTACGGAAAGCTATTAGATCGTTCATTGTGTTACACATAAACCGTCAGCATTTTGTAAGCCGAGCTTTGTCGCCTCCATCTAAACGACGAAAGCTGTCTCGTGTCAGTTTCTTTGTGATTTAACGTTAGCTAACTGTCTAGTTTTCTCCATTCGGCTTTATTCGAAATGGCAATGTCGCTGTCGTCCCACTTCATGAAGTCAACACGGCTTGCAGTGTTAAAGAGTGGGGGCGACATATTCCGTTCCCTTTGTATGTTCAAACCTGCTCTGAACGTCGCAATGATAAGAATGTCGATGTCAAGCGACTGCAGTTGTGTGGCTCAGAAATGGCGTCATAATGCTGAAGCGCAGTCGACATCATACGTGCACGCACGGACTAACTGTAAAGCTACCTCACTCGGTTAACTTTCTCTAGTAGTTGTTTTACTCAATTGTAATGCTGACTCCTCAACTCCGTTCGCCTGTAGAAGCGCTTCTGTGGTCAAAAAATAAAATCACGTTGATTCCGAAGTGACACGCGGTCATTATATAAACGGCTGAAACACTTATGGCTTAATGGTTCTGTAAGCAACTACCACAAATAAAATGTCCGCTATATCACTGAATATGTGTCTTTACAAATCACAACTCTCTGTGACAGCCACGGGCTCTGTAAACAGCTAAAAGAGTCAGGGGAGCGGTCCGTCCTGGTCTTAGCCAATAAGAAACGTGCTTTGTCCGTCAATCATTTTGTGCTGACATTGCTGGCATGTATGTGGAGGGCGGAGTATTGATGTGATGGGGGGGTTGTGTTAATTCAGTGACCAAGTGTGTTGGAAGTTAGCAAATAGCCTGAAATCGTTTACAGCACTTTTAAACCTTAAAGGGTTAGTTCACACGAAAATGGAAATTATCCCATAATTAACTCAACCTCAAGCTATTCTAGCAGGTGTATATGTCATCATATATACACAATCAGAATATATTCAAAAATATCCTGGCCCTTCCAAAGCTTTATAATGGGAGTGAATGGTACCCAAAAAAGGGTTATCCATCCATCATAAAAGTAATCCATTCGACTCCAGGGGTTAATAAAGGCCTTCTGAAGCGAAGCCATGCGTTTTTGTACGAAAAATGTCCATATTTATAACTTTATGAACTATAATCACTAGCTTCCGGTAACGGTCGTACACAAGTCTAGTTCCGGTGGAAGAGTGACCTCTCCCGACGCATAATTTATTGACGAACGTGGAAGCGCAGAGGATAGAGCAAAACAAAACACCGGTCACAAATTTGTTTGAACCGCGAGAGGCCCAATAATCACTCTGATTATGTTCGGTTGAAAGAAGAAAGTCATGTACACCTAGGATGGCTTGAGGTCAGGATGAGTAAATTGTGGTGAACTAACCCTTTAAAATGACCAATTAGACTAGATTTTTTTCAGTCTTTTTTGTAATTGCAAATGCAGGGACTGTTTTCAAACAGGTTTCCACTGAACACTTCTCCTGTCTGCCATTGGTTGACAAATAAATAGTTCTGGGCCCCAATTTAATAGTTGAGTCAATATTGCAGTGTCGGACTCGGTGCACAGTGTTTTTTACTCTTCAATGAAATTAATCAACTACCGTAATAAATGAGTTGTCTCTGTAAATTAAGCTATGGTAGGAAAAAAATATGACGTTGAAAAATTGCGCACATCACCTTTAACCATGTAAATGTTGGGTTGATTTTGATGTGTTCAAAGTAGACTTCAGGGCTGTAGTAAAATATTGCTGTTATTTCTACCATTATTTTTACTGTTACTATTACAAGAACACAATGGTGAATACCTGCAACCTTTCGGTAACCAGACCAGATCAGCAACCACTAAGCTTTATTACCTCTTCTTTGCGAACATACAAACCTAAAGCTAATTTATAACAACTAGAGACAGTTTCCTGGCTGTTAACAATAAAAACCTTTTCAACAGTTGTGTTCATATTACTTTGTGATGTTCATCAATGAATGTCACTTTGGATAAAAGAGTCTGCAAAATGTAAAGGTAACACTTTACAGTAAGGTCTTATTTATTAACATTAGTTAATGCACTAACTAACCTGAATGAACAATATATTTTTACAGTATTTATTAACCTTTGTTAATGTTAGTTAATAAAAATGTTCATGTTAGTAGCCTACACAGTACATTAACTAATGTTAACAGATCGCTACAACGTTTAATAAAAAAAATGGTAAAAATGTATTGGTAAACTTAATATTGAGATTCCCATTAATATTAATATATGCTATATGTTGTTCATTGTTAGTTCGTGTTAACTAATATTAACAAATAACAACTTATTGTAAAGTGCTATCAAAGAATAATGTAAATTAGACTAAGCTATATCTTTATCTTAAATCAAATCGCCAATATTGCTATGATTCGTTATAGTAATTAATTATCAATAATTATGACTGATTGAGTTTTGTAATTGATTTGAAAATATAATGCCGCACGCTGGACTTGAATGTTTCCTGTTGGTCTATATTGTCTGTGCACTACTTCTGAAAACGACGTTCGTCTGTTATAGGACAACTTAGTTTGAATAAACGAGCAGACACTGATTAGCTACTTGCTCTACGTTTATTTAAAATTAACAGCAAGACAACTAGAAGTGAATGTGTTTTCCATTAAATGAATCACACACAGTAAACAAATCCTTAACAAAAAAAACAGGCCTATTCTGGTGATGCGGTGGCGACTCATGTAACATGTAAGGGTGGCGCTACCAATAAAGCACCTAAAAGCTGTCACAAAGACCAGGAAAAGTAATGATTATGAATATGTAAAATATAGCAAGGAGATATTTTAATTGTTTATTAATAAACAAGTGTTTTCTTTGTCGGCTAAGATGAAGTTGACGATGCTGACTCGCGATGTTCAGTAGTGAACGCGCCAGAGAGAAATGCACATTTCATACGGATTACATTAGCAGAGAGCAGTCTGTTCGGTTTGAATTGTTCTGTTTAAAAGTAGACATGTCTGTGAGGCAAGTACCTTATACGCTGAGTTTCGGTTCATTTATTAGACAAGAGTCCAGTTCACGCGCCGGCGCCTCCGTGTCGTGATTATCTATCGTCTGCTATATTTACTTCTTATTTATTAAATCCAGGCAATTGGTTGATGAAACATTGATTAAAATTTAAGATACCATTAATACAAAACGAAATTCACTTTAAAGGTGCTATATGGAACTTTTCTTCTAAAATGAATCCTTTTTTTATTGCCTGTGTGTGAAGGGGTTGTAATCACACATTAAAATGATCCACTTGTCGAGTTTTGCTATTACCTCTGAAGGCCAGTATTCCTATTTCTATGTGAAGTCTCCGGGTCGGATTTACCGCGAAATCCAACGGATGTGACGTGCATGCGCGCTCCCGAGCCTCTCTCCTTATATACAGTCTATTGTAGACGGTCAGGGAGTTACGTCCGGTTAAAGGCGCACGTTTTTCGGCTTATATCTCAGTCAATCTTTGATCAATATTTCCAAGACTCTAATCGGTGCTGGACGGTGCCTTTCGAACGAGCCCACCCCCGAGGTCCAACTCGCCCGGCTCCCCGAGTTATAGCCGTTAAAATCGGGGGTCCCAGCGAACGGCGATCCGGTAGGGGGCATCCCCGAGGCCCGCCACTCTAGCGTTCGGGCAAGGGTTCCCTTGGGACCTCCTCCCCCGAATTTGAGCTCTCTGGGTCTTTGCGTTCCAGAGATACGAGCGATTTTCTTCTGAGATCGTGACGTCACCGGCGTCCGCAATTTTGCAGCGCGCCCGATGGTTTTCTGCTAATATCTCCGCGAAAACACCACCAAAAACTATGGAACTTATATGGTTCTTTTCAGCCCGACTAGATGGTCCCAACGAGCTCGGTGCTCGCCGAATTTGTCTAGTATTCGCCGAGATATTTGCGTAATAGACGGTATTGTCTATGAGTTTGAGCACGAGCGCTCTTGTAAAATTTGGTTGCAATCTGAAACATCACCACTAGAGGCCGCTAAAAGTTACGTAGAGCACCTTTAAAGAAAGGTTTTGTGCTTTCTGTTTGAGGTCTCTGTGAAAGTTTGAATGCTTTCAGAGCGGTTACGTCCGTAACGGAGAACTGTCACGTCCGTAACATTGTTTTTTCCTCATAAATGCGAACACGAAAAATAAAATAAAATGAATATTTTATGTTCTGTGGAGACTACAGTTAGGCTACTCATAATTTGTATTCTGAATACGTAACAACGGTACATGTATTCTGTTAGTTAGTTAGTTAGTTAGTTAACCTTTATTCATCCCCACAGTCAGAAATTCAGGAAATTGGTTACTCCCCAACACTGATATTAGTAGCCTATATAACCCTATCTGCAAGATATTTTAATAACACGGTTTTGGCGGTTATAGAGTTCTAATGATGGTGTTCAACTATAACCGTCGGTCTCACGGTTATATAATAACCGTCACACCCCTAAATGAAATGGGGGAATATTTGTGTAAAAAGAGCTTCAGAATTATGAATATTGTTATTCTGGTGTCTCTATTGTCCTGTGCTTTGGGTTTCAGCACCAAGTCCAAGACTATTCATTTACACACATTTACACACTCGGTGGCTGGTCAAGAAATGTTTTAGTTTTCGCCATCCCTATTCGGTACGGCTCACTTGTGGCGCTTTTCCACTGCACGGTACGGTACGGCTCGGCTAAGTATGCCTCGCTTTAAATGGTACCACCTCTGTCGAGGTTCCAAGCGTACCGTACCGTACCGATACTAAAATGTGACGTGAACACACTGCAGATCACTGATTGGTCAGACAGAATCGTCACTACCAGCGTCATTGTATTTGCGAGACATCAAACCCGCTAGATTTAAATAGCCAGTAACAGCCACCGCTCTAGCACCTGTTTTAAAACTACTTGCTTGAAGAAAAATGAAAGAAAGAAAACTTCCAAAAAAGAAATGGCTGAATCGTGGTCAGTGGACGAAGTGCAGACGATCCTCTCGTTGGTTGCCGAGGAGCGGATAAACTATAATGGTCAGACTATAATCCCACACACTTTGAAGCGGTACGAACTGCAGTGGAAAAGCAAACCGAGCTAAAGCGAACCGAGCCGTGCCGAGTCGTACCACGCAGTGGAAAAGCAAACCGAGCTAAAGCGAACCGAGCCGAGTCGTACCACGCAGTGGAAAAGCGAAGCGAACCGTGCCGAGCCGAACCGTACTGAGCCGAACCAAACCGTACCACGCAGTGGAAAAGCGAAGCAAGCTGAGCCGTACCGAGCCGTACCAGCAGTGGAACCTTTACACTCATCTGTTCGGTGTCTAGCTCTCGGTCTCATTATAAATATGTGTTCATGTCTTTCAGCTGAAGACCTGAAAGTGAGTTAACTCAAGAGGATCACCGTGGACGGAGATGAAGGTAATGCTCCTGAACTTTGATGAAATGAAAGATGAAATGCTTGAGGTCAGATGAATAGTTAAAGAATATGCCGAATTGCCGAGCTGACTTGTCTATAGACATTGGTTTACATCACAGCACGACAAAACCATGCTTTACTTGCTTTTGTCAGTTGCAGTTTGTACTGGGAGAGACATTCTCATTTACCTGGACAATTTGTATTTTTGTTATGTCATTAGTATTCTTGATCTGTTTTCCTGGAGGTGGAAGACGTGAATTGTATGTTGTATCTTGTCGACTTTTGATAAATGCTGCAAGCTTGAAATTTGATTTCATGGGGTTTATAAGATCCTCATTGCTTGTTTTTAAAGTTTAAGCATTAGTATTTTTTGGTAATGCATTTTAAACCACATTTTTATTGTGTTTCGATCTGTGTCTGCTGTTTTTGTTTAAACAAGAATCTTTCCTTTGTGTAGCACTGAATCCATTTAAATGGTCACGGTGTTGAATTTTGCATAAGAATTTTGCTCCGAAGTGCAGACATGTTCCCACAGACGTGCTGCTCTCCGGTAACTTCACTGCTCGGTACAGAAAACATGAACGCTTTGCTTCCTGATTTTCTTTTGGTCTATTTCTATCTATAAATTCATCATTGGAGGAAATGTAATACCAGTCGGCTCTTCGGTTGTTTTCAATTTAAAACATTTATGCTTTTGTTTCCATGGTTACTAGCGACCAGATCGTTGCCTGTAAAATGTATATCATTTTGATTAAACTAGGTTAAATAACAAGGGGCAGTGTAAGGAAGAGAATAGTCCAGTGGATGGCGAAAGCAATGTTGAGGTTAAAGCATGCTTTGTCAGGGCAAGAATTTAAGGGCCTGTTTGGCTGTTTATTGGGGGTGGGAGTCTTTTGGAATCTCACATTTAGATTTAAATCTATTCTTGGGGTCATGATTCGATAAAAAAAAAAACGATTTTAGATTTTGAATTGAATTTTGATTCAATATGCATTAATCTGAGCACCTGATCAATGAACTCCACATGGATCCTTCACAGAAACGGCTGATCTAAAATGGCCCTTTAGTCCTTGAAGCCCCCTCCGTATGTATAAGAAAACTTGTGTCCCCAATTAATTGATATTTAATACAACTCATAGGTGTAATTAAACTTTAAGTAAAGTTTCGTTAAATTATTATTTTTCAATCTCATGTTTCAGTGATTATCAGCTGGTTCCTATCAGTGGCTGATCGGTTGGAGTTAGAAAAATATAAGATGTGTTGTTTTATTCTCAATATTTAGTGATAGCCTCATATACAGGATATGTTAATTCGACATTCATTCGATATTTGTCATTTGCTCTCTTATTTGAACTTTTGTCATTAAAATAGATTCGTTTTTTTAATTGGCAAAGTTCAAAAACTCATACATTTAAGGTATGCTAGCTAGTTTATTGCTGCATCATCAAATAACTTCTATTGAACATGGATCCATTTAACAATCATCAGGCCAACATAAATACAGCAGAACAAAAATGCATATGAAATAAACAGTGCTTTTCAGCTAGGTCTAAGTGTTCAGGTACAGAAATAAAGTAATCAAATGTAAAATTATATTCTTCATTGTTTAAATTATAAATATTAGGATGCTGTCACTTTAAGAGCGGCACAGATCCAATATACTGATACACAAGTGTTTTATTTCTCAACTGTTTACGTTCATTTAAGACTTAACCGACTGTTACAAGGATACAGGCATCGCAAACTCTGAATTGACTTGACAAAAAAAAAGACAAGTAAACAGTCAGTAAGAAAGTAAGAACAAATAAATATTACAAACGATAGCTCAAGTAAATAAAATAGAATAAAGATACTAATTAAATAAACCGTGCTTTAAGTTTTTCAGGTTGGTCTAACAGTACTATTCAGGTTAGAAATAAATCAAATGTAAAATATACACTGCATAGTCTTCACTGAGTAAATAAATACAGATGAATCCTTACAATTAAATTTACAAAAGTTATTCAGTCAAGAGCAGTGAGTGATTTTTCTCTCGTCTTTTGTTGTTTGACTAACATTAATGATGGACGGCAGCTGCTTTATTAGGTTGCTGTCACTTTAAGACCGAATGCATGGATCCAATATACTGTTACATAGGGGTGGGCGGTATGACCAAAATTCTATTTCACGGTATGACTAATTTTATTTCATGGTAACGATATATTTCACAATATAGTTATTTATATATGTACTTATTCTCGAAAAATCGACAAAAAGGGCTTTGTATAATAAATAAACCCAAATACTTTAGAAATGAAAAGTACTTCACATTGTTTTCTGTTTCTCTTATTTGGTCAATTATTTCTTTGGTAAAAAATTTTGATAGCTAAATATAAACAAAACACACTCATCAACTTTTAGATGAACTGCCCCCAACTGATTGATATTAAATACAACTCCTATCGGTGCAATTAAACTTTAAATAAAGCGTTGCTGAATAATTTTTCAATCTCATGTTATGCTTTACTTCATCAATCAGTTTATAATATCTGAATATTTTATATTGAACTATTCTATTCATGATAAATTAGTTATTTCCTTTTAATTTTGTAGGATAGTAATACTAGTTATGTTTAAATGTGTTCCCCGGTACATTTTTGCCATGTCTGCTTATAGGCTACATATGCGTTTTAAGGGGCTTGTTTTGCCCTTTTTGTGATCTGGCAACCCGTCACCCTGCGCTTTAATCAATATAAGTTCAGAAGTGACTAGAAGGAGAGCAGCAGCAGTTTGAAAACCGAACAGCAGCTACTGTTAGTGTTGACAAAGTAGCCTAGTTTAAATTATACACACCTTGTAACTGCGTCATTATTTGACCATAGCCCGGTGAACACCGCGCTCCCTCAGTGCGTGTGCACGCGCGCGTCTTCTGCATCAGTAAAATGCGATCGGTTAATTTGAGTGTCAAGCTGTAATCACGTATCGAATCAAAGGAAGATTTTATCAGCTGGTTCGGTGGCCAATTGTTTGGACTTAGAAATATATAACTCGCGCTGCACATTTAGTAATTTTGCCTCAGATAGGCTACAGGATAGGCATTCACTTTAACAAGCCGGTTGTTCATTACCACGGCAAACTGTTTGCGTGTTTAAAAACTATACATAAGAGACGGAAAGATACAGATAACTATACATTATTTAAGGATATTTCTATTTGTTACGATATTGATATATGAACTGTTGTTGTCAATTAATGCTTTGCGAGCATGCACTCTGTAGCCTGGGTGCTGCACTGCTCTAGTTTAACTGCTGCGCGTGCGCCTTTCCCCCCGAAAATATCACATTAACAACAACAACCCTTTAGAAAATGTAATTCCTTTGTGGATCCTCTTGATCTGCTTTCTCCGTGTTTCTTTTTACAATTCTCAGTGTTTCAGTCTCACGCACGTTGCACGCGAGTTAACCACGCCCACTTATTTGCATTTCGCGGTATACACGGAATAAAAAAATCTGTTACGGTTGACATTTTCTACCGCGGTAACGATATATACCGTCATACCGCCCAGCCCTACTGTTACACATGATTTTTATTTCTCAATTGTTTACATTCACTTAAGACATAACTTAAAGTGAGAGAAGAAAGAGCACAGCTGGTGTTGGTGTATCGACTCTGCGGAAAAGGAGTACTGGGACCATTTCAGTTTAGATATTTTTGACAACACTAAAGTGCATCATGCAGCCTAAAAGCCCACTGTGTACATGCATTACGCAGGATACTGGCTTCAGTCCTCAACAACGCTGTGATAAAAATTCATGGCAGGGACGTGGAGGTGCAGTGGCCACTGAGTCACGCACCATTAGCAAACTCCAACACTTTTAGCTTCCACCCCTGTAACATATGGTCATGCCCAGCAGCGGGGATGACAGCATGAAGATTATCACACAGATCCATCATGCACTAGTGGTCAAGTCGGTGGCGGCACTCGGATTCTCTGTTGGATGTGGTTGCTGTTATCTGTTATTTGAATGACCGTGTGTGTGTGGTACAATGAGATTTAACCATCTGCTCCACTGACTGACTGACTGTGAGTTTGAGGACTAACCTGAGGCTCTTATTATTCACATTGTTCATCAAGCTGCTCATTTGACTGTGAACTTTTACTGCTCTTTTAGTAATCTTACTAATCTTTTAGTATTATATCTGGGAAGAGAAGGCTGTCTAATTGTCTTGCTTACATCGTTTCTCACACACTAGATAGTAGTCTGAGTACATTAGCAGCATCAACACTTGTTCAGTGTCACGGCCAGCTCGTTTCAAGCCACAACATAAGAGGGATCATACACCAGCGTTTAATGAATACAAGTTGATTTATTATTTTAAACAAATACATCAATAAACCAAATAACATAAGTCTAGGGAGAGTAAAAAAACAAACAAATTAAATAACGGTAACAAAATCTTAAAGCTACATGATATATGAAATGTATGAGGAGGATCGAAAGAAAATAAATCAGTGAGATGTTACATTGTGGTGGAGAGCTGCTCCTGAGAGAAACTATCTACTAACCTCAATCAACTTATCTACTGCATTCCCCTAATTATCAATTAACATGAGGAGTAAGGATGCCAAATTACAAGCATTCCCATGATCAATCGTCCATTAACAGTTCAATACAAATCGTCCATTTAAATGAATCAATGAATGGATTAATCATTAACCTTAATGCTGTGAGATGGTCTACTAGTGGCATCTATTCGCCGGCGTGCGCCAATGCCACTTAAACACCGGCTTCCTCAACCTAATGAAAAGCTTTTTTAGTCTAAATTAAAGGCTAGTAGCAGGATTGTAAAATGAATCGATGTGATTATGGTCATTTGATCAAATTAAGCAAGTGTGCCGTAGTTACGTTTGTGATCATTTTACGTTAAATGTAGGGCCTTATCAAATCCGTTTTATTTTTCCCCAAATTCCGTTTTGTCCATTTTAATTTTTAAATCTGCCTTTAATGTTAATGATTAAAAT